AATAATTATGCAGACATGCGGTTCACCCGATAGTAAGCATCACCGCCGCCCATGGACAACTGTAAACCCAGGGAAAAAAAGTGCGTTGCTGGCTTTTTAAAAGGAGTATACTAGTTTCTTGAAGGCCCCTAAGTCGTATCGGCCCGGAAAAATCACCAGTGATTCCACAAAGAAGTCGTGCGAGGAATAACACTCTCCGTGGTGCTAGTAGTAACTCATTAAAACGTAGAAAAAGTCTACAGCTGAACAAAGGCCTCCCCCATAGACTGCTATATATGCTATATTATTCAATTTTGCTGCACTTGGCAAACGGGTTGGCAACCGCAGGTTTTTATTGTTTAGAGCTGTTATCAGGAAGATGCTGTTGCCCATCTCCTTAGTTGAATCATACGAGACCCATGGGATGATATGTGATTGGAGACTCCCTTACTAGGCGACAATGCTAGGAATGAATAATCACATGAATCATCATGTTTATAAATTTATATTTTGAAATTCCCTGTTTCACCCTTTCATGGGTTGAGTTTTCCAAAATCCTTTCTTAGTGGGTGTCACGTTTTAAAATAGTTGTTTGGCTAACATATATAAAAATGGAACTTCAGAATGTATATATTTTATTTTAATATATTTATATTTTTTTAAGAGCTTTAAAGCATCTGCAAAGCGATACTGCCGACGGAAAGTGTCTCGAAGTATTGATGACTGATTTTTATATTATCTAACATATACGTAAAAATCAGCTGGGAGAATTAAAACGAGGTGAGTAATGTCTTTACGTATCTTGATTACCTGATACACCTTGAAAATGGCCCTCTGGCCAAGCTAGCAGGTAGGCATGCGATCATAGTACATACAAACACTACTCAATCTTACACATTTCGTTCGTCAGAAAATAAGTGATGTTTTATTATTATTATTATTGGGGTTATCTATAAAGTTTTCTCATCTGGTTGGGCTGTTTAAATATATAATTGTAAACGAAAGATGTAAACATACATATATATCAATAAAATAGAATAAATACATAAAAAATACATAAATATATAAAAACCCAACCAGAACGGCCGAGGGCTACGGGGAAAGGGAAAAAACCGCCAGACGATGTGGGCGCTATCGAGGAGCACCGCCTTCTGCATTTGATCTTGGAGCGGTCCGTCACGGAGTCCCAGTTGCCCCAGATGAACCGAGAGGCTGACTGGGATTAACCCGTTCGCATAAACGACCACAGGAATAATTTCGGTCGGTCACATGTTGGTCACCTCGTGAGCCAGGTCCAGATATTTTGTCAGCTTATCTGTTTCGGCTTTCACGAAGTTCTCGTCATAAGGAATAGTAATGTCGAGCAAAAATATCCTTGACTGTGCCCGGTCCATCAGCACAATATCAGGCTTATTCGCAAGAATAGTCCTGTCTGTGATGATGGCCCGGTCCCAGTAGAGCCTGGCGCGGTCATTTTCGAGCATTATTATTATTAATTATTATTATTATTAAAAACGTTACCCCCACACTAGGATTTTCTCTTGTATCGTGGAGCAGTTTACAAACATAGATTGCACGAGAACAAACATCCAGACCCGGAACAATTATTTGTAGGCCATACAAATACTTGTTCCGTGCGGGATACGAACCTGCGGCCCCCAGCGCGACAACTCATTGTTAAGCCACTGCGCCACGGAGCCGTATGGTGGCCTTGGGATCTTGCTTTAATATCTTCGCAGATTGTGAACCAATTTCGATGATTCTTTTTTTATTAAATAGGTTATACTTCAAGGGTGAAAAAATCCACCATTAAGGGTTGCAAATAAATGACTTATTTTTATAGTATAGTTATAATTATAGTAAAAACAAGACATTCCATCCTAGTCTTCAGGGGTGACAACGAACCTACATTCTTATTTATGGATAGATGTAGTAGTCTCTGGGTCACAATATCCACTTACCATCAGATGGAGAGTGTGCTCGTTCGTCACCGTTATTCTATAGAAAAAGTTTAAAATAAAATCTTATATCCGTCGTGGCTACTAACCTAAAACGCACGAGTAAACTAGTTGACGTCAGAGGAAAATAAACATAGATAATAAATGATAAATATTGCGTGTAACACCGCGGCCAGAAAATTTTTGGCCGTAATATGAGGATCGCGTTCCTAAAGCAGATATGCCGTATCGTTGAAGCACCTTCTAATCTAGGCCACATAAAGCCATGGATTTACTTACATATAAGCAGATTTGCAGCAAGCTTACGTTAAAAGACTGCAAAGAGTTAGACTTTTATGATAATGTACGCAGGAATTTTTGTCTCTGCCTTTATACGATATAAAATAATCTTCATTCACCTAAAACGGTATATTTATAGGTTTTTTCTTACCTATTTTAAGCCAATGCTTTACCACTATATTAATTATACTTAATTTTATGTTTGAGTTTAAAATCCCTAGTATGAAAAATGTTTGCGAGTAGTGAATGTATTGTAACTAGTGTTCATAAAACGAATATCTGAATATAATTTTAAGATTTTTATCAACTTAATTATATTAAGATGTTAAAAATTAATTAGCTAACATTTATTTTATTATTTATTTATGTTCCCTCGTGTTTGTTACGCGGACCTTAGCTAATTAATTTTTAACATTTTTAATACAACGAATTTCCGCAAAGTAATGCCTGATTCTATTAATCTAATTATCATAAAGTCAACTTGAATGCAAGTTATAATTAAATTTCCTCCTTCGTTAAATTTAATTATGTTATTCCAGTGTAATGTTTTCAAAATTAGTATTTTTTTTATAAGAGAGGGGGCAAACGAGCATGCGGCTCACCTAATGGTAAGTGACTACCGCAGCCCATGAACAACTGCAACACCAGGGTAATTGCAGATGCGTTGCCGGCCTTTTAAAAAGGAGTAGGCTCTTTTCTTGAAGGTTCCTAAGTCGCATCGGTCCGGAAACATCGCTGGTGGTAATCGATTCCACAAGGAAGTTATGCAAAGGAGAAAACTTCTTCTAAATCGCACAGTGGTGGACCGCCAATCACCAGATGGTATGGATGGTATCGCGAGTTTTGTCGCGATGTGCGATGGTGGAATTGAGCTGCTGGAATTAGTACGAACAATTCCTCAGAGTACTCCCCGTGATAGATGCGATAAAATACGCAAAGAGATGCAACATCTCTACGCAGTGCCAGTGAGTCAAGCCGATCGGAAAGAACTCGGTCATCGACGACTCAAACTGCTCTGCGCTGGATGCGGTCAAGTGGAAGGAGCTGGCACTGTAGAGCCCCAGCCCAGTATAGTAACATATATTTTTTAGGATATTCACAAATTACTTAACGTGACATAATAATTAATTTATCACTTGCATGTTATGAAGTTCTTGGGAAATTCAAATAAATATTGGAAATGCCAGCTCAATCTAGAACCGCCTCCCAGATTCTAGGCTACCAATTTCCTTTTTTATCTTAAATAATTTTGAGTAAAAAATGTCCTTTCACAAAATGGCGTTCACAACGACCACCCTGTAAGGATGACTCACGCTAGACCGTGTCGGGTCCGAGCCGAGTGTCGGCCGTAGCACGGTCACCGAGCCTATCCCGTGTATGTAATTGCAAAGACGGGCCTCGACCGAGCAAATACCGTTGCGCCGTGATGCAGTATACTCGTCCGAGCAAAAATAGTGTTGTAACTAGAATACAATCATGTTGAATTTTGACAATCTGGAATTAGGGGCTATTGCGATCACTCTGGACAATGAAGAATCTGATAAATTTTCTACTACCAGGAAATGGCCGAGCAGAGCCGAGTTGTTTCCGAGCGTTGTCCGTTGCTCGGCCGTCACTCGGTTGCCGCTCGGTATAGCGTGAGTGGGTCCATACAAAATATATATAATATTAGTTGACCGTGCTAAGGCCGCCACTCGGCTCGAACCCGACACGGTCTCGCGTAAGTCATCCTTAACTGTTGCGGTGTAGCATTAGAGAGGTGATACTGATAGATTAAATAAATAAATTTATATTATTGAAGGGCATAATTTTGTTACTAGGTGGCAGTTTGAGTGTGATGATGATAAATTTCTTGTCAAAAATACAAATATTATGGAGACTTGCTTAGAATAATCTATCCCATAACCCTTTTGAAATGACAAGGGGCCTGTGATCAGAAATTGTTTTAATATATCTCCATGGAAAATTTTGACTAATTTGACATATTATGCCTTTTCTTAAGTGCTTTTATATTTTTGGTCTTTTAATTTTTTTTATAGAATAAAATTGAAAATTGTATATAGACAAGTCCATTAATAAACATAGACCTCCCCCAAGGAATGCCACTAAGCACGGTCCTGAGTCACCTACATCCATCAACTTCATACATCTCTGACTACCTGAGCACACTTACACTCCGCATTCCGGTACGAGAGAGAAACTTATAATATATATACTATACCTTAATGTATGGTAATGAAAGTTGGATGTGGCAGAAGAAGTATGACAGTAAAATTAATGCTGTACAAATGCGGTCATTAACAAGTATGTTAGGGCTGACTCTGAATGATAATCCAGCAATTCTGAATAATTCTGAAACAAAATTATCATTCAGAGTCAGCCCTATCTGGTGAGAATTTAATAAAAGAAAATAATGTGGTTAGCAAGATCTTGTTGTGGTGAGAATTAAGAAGTTATTGTTTCGGTGGTTTGAAAATGTAGAATGAATGAAAGAGGAACAAGTGACAAAGCAAATTCATGCTGCATGTAGATTCACAAGGGACGCCCTATCCGGAAATTTATCAACCAAATTGGCGATATATTGAATATGGTGAATTAAGGGTAGCCCCTTAACCGACGAGCATGTATGCATATATACTTATATTGAAAGAAGCGAAAGAGTTGTGCCATGATCGTGCCAAAGTAAGAAGAAGTCCGTGGTCTCTGCCTACCCCTCTGGTGACAGACGTGACATTTTATATTATGTTTACGTTACTTTTTAATAATAACTATTGATTTGCTTACCTTAATGTAGTCTGGGTCTGGCATTTCGGACTTCTCGTCATTGTTGTTGTTGTTATTGTTGTTTATACTTGTATTGTTGTTGTTATTGATGCTCATCATCCCACTGTAACAAAAAATATAAAAATTTAAAATTAGATGATTTTTCTTAAAATACGATTTAATATGATGAAAATTATTTAAGTTTAACACTGCCAATTTACACCTACGTGTATTAGCAATTTAAGTAGGTGAAAGTGGTAATGAAATTGATAAAGGCCCTTTTACTCGACTACGCCAGAACAAGGGTAATGTTTTTCGAGAGTAAATATGTGAGTATGTATGTATATTTCTTTGGCACGCTCTGTGGCCTAAACGGCTTGATGAATTTTAACATATTATGTGTCGTCAGTCTTAATTGTGGGAGTGATATAGGCTATATAATATTTATAAATTGCATCTGCAAATACAAAGAAAAGGAAGGATAAAGATTTTTTCAGTAAACTGTTTAACGCAGTCGTTTTTAGTATTGTATGCTACCGACTCCAAAAAGGAGGAGGTACTCAATTCGACTGTATGTTCTTATTTTATGTGTGCTACCTCATAATTTCTTTCTAGGTGAACCGATTTGAGTTATAACTAATAAATTATATCAATTATTTTTATTTTAAATTATAATTATTAAGCTTGTTACAAATAATACTTAATAATGATACACTTAACCTAATGCTTATAAAACATAATGATTCACGTAAAATAACAGTATGTTTAAATTTATGTTAATTATATATATTATGATCGTTATCAATTACGTGCTATTTATAGCTTTGTTATTGTCGATTTTACATCAATACCATGATGATAATAAATATTGCTATATTTTAAGATTGTACGGATATTGCACTAAATAATTGTGTAGTGTACGTAAATACTCTCGTGATAATACGAAACTTGCTGTATAGTGATATAATATATATTGCTATAATATGATATAAATAGTGATATAATATGATGTATATATGTAGTGATATAATATATCATCCCGTGGGTGTATTAAAGGGTGACATAGCGAAACTGAAAAAGAAGATGGGCAGCAGCATCTTCATCTTCTGCGGTTGTCCACCCATCTGACCTACGTCGCAAATTGACACAGTTGAAAAACTCCCTATGAGGGAACCTGATCTATTGGGAACCCAATCTATTGGGGAAGCCTATGATCAGCAGTGCACTTTTTATAGGTCGTTATGAATGAAATAATAAAATACATCTTTGTACAACTGGATTTCACTCACATAAAAATAGTACTGACTGAACTGACACACAATTGTTAAATATATTGTGTTCAAATATAATATACAATGGCTAGTTCCATAAAGAAAAAAAGCAATGAGAAAGTTAATTTAAAAAAACGAAATGAATTAACGTTGGCAAATGTAATTCTTAGGTTATGTACCTCATTCTTCTAGAACCGCTGTGCCAGGCTGCGTACACGGCGCACTTGTTTGCCATTGTGTTATCAGCGATAAGAGTATACTCGTACATCGCTCGATTACAGTACGTCCTTATCACTTATCAAACGCGATCAACGAGTGCGAGTCTCGAATACCTGCTCGATGTTAACGCGCTTATGTCCATGTTGTGCGAATGTACGAAGGTACGCGATGAATTATTTTGCATCTACCCCCTTTAATTTGCTTATTTACGCGTGCTCGCATCGTACGTAATTGTGAGGTAGTCACTGTGTTGATATCTTTATGCCGACACAGAAACCTAAGATGTCTATCACCATCATCAGCTCCCACCTTAACAAATTTTTTTTATAGAATTAGGGTGACAAACGAGCACACAGTCCACATGATGGTAAGTGGTTGCTGAGGCCCATATATATCTACATTTATCCTCGTTTGCAAATCAAAATGCAGATGCGCTGTCAGCCTTGAGGGCTAAGATGGAATGAATGTTTTCCAGTAAAATGGGTCTCCGGTTTTCTACACTCACCATACGAAACATTGCAGCATTAAGCTGCTATTTTACGCTGGTATTCTGTGAGAGCGTGGTCCTTCCCCCGTCGAGCCGACGCATTCGTGCTACAATTATTAATATAGCTGCAGCTTGGGTGAACCACGTAAAAAAATATAATTATATATATATATATATATATATATATATATATATATATATATATATTACATTGTAAATAACAATTTCTCGCACTAGTAGATAGTATTTCCCAATCCTAATATTATAGCTCATTCTTAAACGCCTTGTCAGTGTTCATTTTTTCAGATCTTTCAGCGGATAGCGGATAGTTTCGGGGATATCCTGTCTTGCACATCAAAGCAGTTAGATGGGTTTCGTACTCTGGTTCTGTACTCGTTCATTACTCATTGATTACAGTCTATCAACAGGTTGGACGTAGGCCTCCACCGAATAGCCTTATAGGGATCCTCCTTATATGTCATAGTTTCCACGCTTGCCAGGTAAATGTTCATCTCCTGTTTCAGTTTACTTCTGTCGCCTTTTGCGAAACCCACAGGATAATATGAAGTAACTAATTTTCTAACGCCACCACTAAACGGCACTGATATTACACACGTAATAAATCTAATGTTGGATAGAGCATGATACGTGTCATTTTTATTAGTATATATCCACTATTTTCGTGATGTAAAATGTTTGGTTTTGGTTTACTTTAAAAGTAAACGGTAGAAATGTAAAATTATACAAGAACCGTATTGGCTCAAGGTATAAACGCTTCCTGTAAATTTGACAGTACGCGAGCAACCCGGTTTAGATCCCTGTAGGTATTATTGGTAAGTGTTTGCCGTGATCAGCGATGAAGGAAAACATCGTGGACAAATCTGCGTGCATGAGGAATAAAAGTTAGACACACACTGGAGCTGAGCGTTGAACTAAATTGCTCCATATCCCTTTCGGAAATAAAAGGAGGCCTGAGCCCAGTAGTGAAAAATAATTAAGTTATATAGTTTTTTAACTATAAATATAAAATAATAATTTTATCAATTTAAAATTAAACTAACGCAAAGCAATGAATGAATTATTCATTTTTTTGATATTGAACGAAAATAAAATGCGATCAAAAAAATTTTTCATGGCAGATTCTCTCCGAGGCTTAATATACGGGCGTTATATAGGTAGACACTCTAGTCAGTTGAAATATTTTTTTGTGAAAACAAATATTTCTTTCCTTACACATTGTTTTAAATAAAGTGTAATCACGTCATAGTTTTTATAGTCTAATCTTAGTCAAAGTCAATATTTGTATATTTTTACGCGTAAAAAATGCAATCTAGTTAGTTAGTGTAGTTACTAATGAATGATGATGTAAGTTAAGACGAAATGGTGAGAGATGATTGCAGGTGGTTCAGAATCGTGTCATGTGGCATTCCTCGAGGAGGCTTATGATCAGCAAAGAACTTGTGAAATTGTCAAGGACTGTAATAAGAGAGGTTAGCCAATTAGAGTACTTAGTGCTCAAATATTTATACTTAATCGGGTCATAAGTTCTGTCAAAACCTTATTATTTAAAATTTTTGAATACTGGCTAGATGAACTTCATCAATTTTAAAAATATAACGTTTGCGCTTGCCAAAAATTAAAAATACATAAATTTTCATTCGTTTTCAAATATAAAGTGGTTGAAGAAAGAAGATAGAGTAGTGGCTATCGCGTTGCACCGCTGTGGTTACGCGCCAAAAGAGCATTTCAATATTCTACAATTTTTTTAAATAAGCCTACGATTTGTTTATCGCACTATCAAACTATTCACTAAAGATTCAAGCTTCGAAGATCGTAAGAGGACCGGCCGACCTCGTACAGTTAGGACACCCGCGATCATCAAAGCAGTGAAGGCGCGAATCCAACGAAATCCTGTTCGTAAACAAAAAATCTTAGCTCTTCAGATGGGCCTAAGTAGAACCACGGTCAAAAGAGTTATCAATGAAGACCTAGGACAACGAGCTTATCGTAAGAAGACTGGACATTTTTGAACGAGCGTTTGATTAAAAATAGGCTGGATAGATCCCGCGCTTTGTTACGGCGGTATGCGGGAAAAAAATGCCGCGAAATTTTGTTTTCGGATGAAAAAATTTTTAACATCGAAGAAAGTTATAATAAACAAAATGATAAGGTGTATGCCCACAGCAGTGAAGAAGCCAGCACGCGTAATCCGAGGGTTCAACGAGGACATTATCCTTCGTCACTCATGGTTTGGCTTGGAGTCCCATACTCTGGCTTAGCTAAGGTGTTTTTCTGTGAAAAAGGTCTAAAAGCCAGTGCCGAGCTGTACCAAAATACCGTCCTAATAAACATAGTGGAACTTCTTTCTCAAACAATGTTCAAATATAGACATCAGATATTCCAACAGGACTCTGCATCAGCTCATAGGGCACTAACTAACTAGGAATTGACTTTATCGGACATGAAAACTAGCCCTCTTCTAGTCCAGATACCACCCACTGGATTACGAGATATGACAAAATTTGGAGGAGAAAGTATCTTATCAGAATTTGAAATCTCTCCGAGCATCTTTGGCTAAAGCAGCGGCAGAAATAGATATGAATGTGGTGCGTGCTGCGATTGATGATTGGCCGCGTCGATTAAGGGCATGTATTCAGAATAAGGGAGGGCATTTTGAATAATGTAAATAAAATTGTATTTTAAATTAAATTTCCTTTAATTTCATATATATCATCATTCATCATTGCAGCCTTTCTCATAAGTCCACTGCTGAACATAGGCCTCCCCCAAGGAATGCCTCAAAGCACGGTCCTGAGCCATCTGCATCCATCGACTTCCTGCATGTCTTACCAGGTCGTCACTCCATATCGTGGGGGGGGGGGGGCGCCCTACACTTCGCCTAACGGTACGAGGCTGCCACTTAAAAACCTTTTTTCCCCATCGGTTGTCGGTTCTTCGAGCTATATGGCCGGCCCACTGCCACTTCAGCTTACTAATCCGTTGGGCTATGTCGGTCACTCTGGTTCTACTGCGGATATCCTCATTTCTAAGTTTATCACGCAGAGAAACTCCGAGCATAGCCCTCTCCATAGCTCGCTGAGCGACCTTGAGCTTCCTCATACGGCCAGCAGTGAAGGACCACGTCTC